TTATTCATACATTTGAAAATAATTCAAGGAACGAATCAATTAAAGTAGGCTTTCAGGCTATGATGATTATGGATTGGATTGAATTGGATTGGATTATTCAATTATGGCAAAGCACACGAGGGCTATCTGCCTAAACGGAGGGATGCCTTCATGGAGGACTTGCTAAGGTAAACTGGCTCGTATACACGTTACACATGGGGAAAACCACGAAAGCGCCCATGCAGCCAGCCCGTTCGCGGGATTCGAACCTCGGACCGAGCTACCAGTGTTTAGCGTCTTTACCGCTCGGCCGTTGGGGGGCCTATGACGATTATGATGACTCTATTTAATAAAAGTTTGCAAAACTTCAATTTGTATAAGGATTCTGTGAAATTTCGGGTTAGAGTAATTGTGAAAGTTATTTTTTATATTCAAATAAATCATCCGAAAAATTCTTTTACGATCAAAACTACCTGAAATACTGTTAATTATAATTTAAGATGGTTACCATGTATAATTAATGTTGAAGACAGTTATGCATGTAAGTTTTCTTATGCAAATCTCATAAGATATCATTTATATCAGAAAACTGTGAATGCAGAAGCCCCGATTTCAATCCCATCTATGAGCAAGGCAGACGTTAAAAACTCTCATCAAAGTATCGGTGTGGCCAATATTGACGAAAAGTCACGTTTTTATTTATTGGTTTAATTAGTGAATCTTTTTTGTTTTGTTTTAAAAAACAAGTTTGTTTTTATCTCTACGTTATTTGAAAAAGAAAATGCTAAAGATTACTTGAAGCCGTAAGAGCAGGAAGCATTTAAATCTCAAAAATTGACATCTTTAAAATCGTGTCAGCTCTCGGCTTCGAAAAACGTTGAGAAAGATTAACTAATGTAATTTCTACTATAATTAACTAATGTATTCGACTGTAATAAGAATGTAATTTGTAGAAAATATCAATAATCTGCAAAGTATGAAGAGTGCAAGAAAGTATGCAATTGCTGCAGCAAGTTCTAGTGCTTTCTGATGTAAATCACCTGATGTTTTCCTTTCCGAAATATCTGGTAGTTTTGTTAACCGGCGCAATCTACACAGGTTTCAAATATTTGTCGAGATGGCTTTCTTTTTTAATTTCTCCTATTAGCTTAAGATAGAACCTTTTACAAAATGAAACAAATTCTGAATATTTCGACGACACAGAAAAGTAAACAACTAAATATAATTCAGTTACATTTCTTTGTACAGACACAGAATTAAATTCTGTTTTAAAACAGCTTTGTAAAATTGCTACGCTAAACAAGTTGTAGAAATTCTGGGCTTCTATAATTCTTCTTTTATTCCGAAAATAAAATATTCACCATTTGCTCTAAAAATGAACAGGAAACCTTCACCAACTACTCTAAAAAATGAAATATGTTTGAGATATATGAATGAAACAGAAAAATGTACGAGTGAAGTATAATTCAATTATGAAAGTCTTCAGAAAAAACGCTGCTTGAAAAATGCATTAAGTAAACGCACTGCAGAAATTCAATGCTTCAAGAATTTTCTTTTAACTAGACGGAAGTCGGAACTTTATTGAAAATACAAACATACATGTTATGGAAAAAATTTAAGAACCACGAAAAGTTTGTAAAATGATGCATCCAATCGTCTAACGTATTAAAAATAAAATAATTCTCGCATATATACAGAGTAATGAAATTTCTGAGAAAAACCAAAGAAAAAAATTTTAGCAGGTTTAGAGCGAGAATCTTCAAGAACTGCGAGGAGTTTTCAATTTCTACCGCCAATTAAATTTGCTTAAATTATTTTTTCCAAAACATAGTGTTTGACGCATTTTACACCATTTTTTTCCTCCATCCTTTTAACTCCGATTTCTTGAACGTTAATTCACCTTTTACTACAGAAGGCTCTATTCTTCATCGTCAATACAAAATAATTACATATTTTCATGTCGCATTTAAGTTTTTTCCCTCTATGGCTTTTAAAATTTCCGATTGAAAACTTGGCTTTCGGGTAATTAAATGCGACAAATCGGCTGAAACGTTCTTAATATTTCTTAGAGCTTTTTGTCTCAATCTGTTACTTACCTGAAGAGTGGAAAGTTATTGAATGTTAAATGTATTTTAATACGTTTCGTGTCCACAAATTTGAAAGACGATTTTTCCCCGATATGTTTATTCATTTATTCTTCTAATTTTAGTTTCAGATTAGTAGGTTTTTGAGATATTTTATTTTTTTGTACAATCAAAATGTTGAGCAGATAATCTAAAAATTAAGAATTTCAGTTAAATAAGTGTACCTACCTAGTCATCTAAAAGATCAATCTAGATATTCAGAAAAAATGTACAGAAGTTGTGATGAACATAATTCAGTCGAAAAATATCTATTAACTTTAAATATAAGTGTAAATCTTCGCTAGTTTTGCAGTAGTTGACTCACCAAACAAATAAATACAAAATCATAACCACGCCAAAAGCGCGAAACTGAATATATACTGCTTTTCACTATGATGTATATTCTAAATTAACTTCACATGTATTTACGTTCTGAATTATCTACAAGTAGTGATGTTCTTGTTTCTGTTACACTTTCTAAGTTTTATGTAACCTTAAGACTAATAGGTTCATGAAAAGGGTTTACTTTAACTCTCTCTTGAGATTTGGAGTTAGAAGGTAAAAGAGAAGGCTACATGTGTGACTGTACCTATGGTTTTAGTACATTTGGCAGTTTACAGTAGCGATGAATAGCTAATACCAATTTTGTTAATGATCACTAAAGTCGAAAAATATGTTTTATGTTGTGAATAAAAGTTAACTTCCTTTTAATCAAAAATAATTTTTTTAATCCCCAAAATAGTTTTCGACAATTGAAATACACTAACTTTCAATCAAATTAGCTCACCGAGAACGAGGTACAAACGAACTTGCAGGACTTAATCTAGTCTTCTTTAATAAGGTGTTGCACTGCCTCATAATGTATTATAAGCCGTTACACATTCGATCCTGAAGACTTTTGTTGATGTCTTGTGGCAGATGTACTCAAGCTTGCTATACAGTGCGTGCTAAATCTTAGATATTGTGGGTATGGCGATAAGTCACGTGTTATCTACTCCCAGACATGTTCTATTAAGGACAGATCCAAGATTTGGACCAGACCTTTAAAGTGATTGCAACTACAATTCAGGTTCTGTGATCATACGCAGACGCACCAAATTTATATTGTTTGCAAATAAACGCACAACTTAGCAACCTGCATAATTTCACTGTTTGTGCTAATATCATAAACTGTGAATATATAATAGATTTATTCGTCTGCAAAGTATTGTAAATTTTGGTATTCTGATGTACATTCCGTAAATTCCGAAAATCAGTAACGTTTCATAGACATTTTATTTTTATCTCCAGCGCGCCAGACTGAATATCGGAAATTCTAAAGATATGCTCATTTTAAAATTATTTTGCGATATTGCTCTTGAACTGAATTTTATGGTTTAAGTACGAAGAACATGATATTTAATAAATAAAGGTAGCACACAAAATGTTTAAAAAATGCCCTTTTGGACATACTTTAAAATCTAAAATCTTTCAGATTTTATTTATTTTTTAACCTTTAGTTTATATTATTTACGCATTTTATATTACTTATCATTTGCTGCTAATATCATTTGACGCAAAGTTTATTTTACAATGATTAAATCTAGCTGCAAGTGGAATTAATAGTAATCAGTGTGAACTAAACAAATTAATTTATAAGGATCTGAAAAAGTGCAGGTAAACTGATGAAGCCTGAAACTTTGCATATTGTTGAATGTACAAAATCATTCCGTGGCTACGGACTAACGGGGCCTTGATTTCCTTGTAAGCAAATGAGCTATTTGCCATAGATTAGTCTTTTAAGTACGCTTCCAGATCCTCCTCTAGTGTTATAATTAGTAACATCTGGTATAAATTTTACATTTTTAGTATTTAAAAGCATAAAATCAGAAACAAGAATAAAATGCTAAAATTCATGTTTTAGGTTTTTATGCTATTTTTAAGAACAGACCTTAGTGGCGCCTCTGTCATGGTCTAGAAGCCTTTGAGATTATCAGTAAGTACGGTGGTATAAAAAAACTGTAGTTTTTTAATTTAAATTTATAGATTATTAAATTAGGGTTTTTAATACTCAAGGTTATATTTAAAAATTCCAAAATAAATTTTTAAGATATTCTGTGTATAAAAATTACTAATGATTCATCAAAAGATAATTTTTAAAGTTTGAAAGAAATTTATTGTTTTTTTATTTACTCATTTCATTCGTAAACTTCATTACTCAATTGATTAATCAGTTTACTACGTTAGTTTCGTCATATCTATATTTCATATTACCTCACTCAAGTAAATAGTAAAATTAATAAGAACATCGGTCACTTTATTTCTCTAGGGCAAAAAAAATAAGATCTTCGTTAAAATGCATAGGTCTACGTTAACTTATACTAAACTGAAATTATAAAAACAAAATACACAAAAAAATTAAACACATTTTTCGTTAACATTACTTTGAATGAAAACCATTGAATTATTCTATAATATATGTTTCATGAAATGCACTTTACGTGAAATATAATTTGCATTGGTAAAGTCTACTACGCTGGAAAACATAAATATGGAGCCTCTGTAACGGGTTTTGTCCCGCGCCGCGAGGGTTTGTTTGTAATCAAGCCTCCAATTTTGTAAATCGATCTGAAGGCAAGTGTTACAAAACTAATATAAAAAAGGTACATATTTTTAAATTTTATTGTACATATTCCTATATTCAAATTGTATTGTACATATTCCTATATTCAAATTGTATTGTACATATTCCTATATTCAAATTGCATTGTACATATTCCTATATTCAAATTGTATTGTACATATTCCTACTGTGTGATAAAAAGCATCTCATACGGTTGTTTACGATAGTTGATGATGACACATAATTGTGTTCTTTTTTTTTTTTTTTTTTTTTTTTTTTTTTTTTTTTTTTTTTAGATTATCCTCCTACACTACTTGAAGTCTTCAGTGAGCAGACATTGGAGCCTGGTCCATCCGTTACACTAAAATGTGTGGCACAAGGTAATCCTCTGCCACAGATAATTTGGACTCTTGATTCAAGCACCATACCAGAAAATTCCCGTTTTCGTCTTGGCGATTATGTTAGAACTGGTAGCGATTCAACTGAAGTCGTTAGCTATGTCAATGTAACTTCCGTAAGACCAGAAGATGGAGGCTTGTACGAATGCACGGCATCGAACGATGTGGGGAAAGCCAGTCATTCCGCCCGTGTGAATGTATTTGGCCCACCATTTGTCAGAAGTATGTCCAACTTGTCTGCCGTTTCTGGGGAGACACTCAGGTTGCAGTGTCCCGTGGGCGGACACCCTATTGAGAGTATTAAATGGGAGAAAGGTGAGTTCAATTAAATATAATAGATAGCTTATAAGGAATAAAATTATTTTGCACACTTTCCTACAAAGTAAATATTAATGATAGAAGGACCAGCATCGTTTCTGATCAAAAGATATATTATCGTTTTATTGATTTTTGTGTCAAGGGGGTATAAATTGCCTTTGTTTGAACTGTTTGTCAAGCAGCCTGCATTCAGACGGCAATACTTTGATTTCATTAACGGATCCATTTTGTGCATATTGCCAGAAGTCCATAGCATTCGTTTCAATAGCTCTTTGAATCCACTGTAACGGTTATGACCTTAGACGTTTATGATAGAGAGATGGCACATACACAGCGTTCATCACATATCGAAAATGAAGGTGATATTTCACGTTATTTTGGGGACAAATAGCAAAATATCCATTTTATGGATAAATCCATTATATGGATAATCTAAGAGTAAGGACGAAGTGTCAGTCTTCAAGGTGATAATTTAGTTTAATGGTAATATCGTCTTAAAATTTGTGACACTTCTGTTCTTCACTGATAACTTCTCTCTCCTTCAACTATTACGAGTTAATTTATAAAAAAAACAAAATAGTTTCTTTATATTTCAGTTACGCTGTATATTGTATATATTTTACTTATACATACAAGTTGAATTTTATCCAGGATTATTCAGTTTAGTTTTTCTTACACAAGAATGTATTTAATTAATCATAATATTAATAGATGTCAGACAGATTTTTATCGTTTATGAAATCTCAGTTAAATTTTACGTTTTCGATTTTATTTCAAGGCAAAATTTTCGCGACAGGAATAATAATCATAGTAATAATACGTAAGTGAATGAAAAAGCATGTAGAACTGAATTTAATAAACGATGTAAAGTGAAAAAAATTTTCGTTTTTTTATTTTTCATAATTTTTTTTCCTACTACAATACATTTCTGACACTGTTTATTATCTGAGTTTAATCCAAGGCAGAAAAGTCTTCCTCAAACTTTGGAAAACAATCATGGAGAGTATTCATAAGATCAAATGAAAAACGCACGTCGCCAAGGTCTTTCTTCGGAATTCTCAACTTCAGAAATCATTGAAGCTTGTACGGAAGATGAGGTAAGACTTGAAATTTTGAAGCACTTATAACAGCTGTTGTTCTAGTTGAAGTGTACTTCATCAACCTCCTAATTTTTCCCACAGTTAGTTTTCCAATTATGCGTAATGCTTCCCTATAACTATGTTTTCCTCGCTGGATATAATCAATCAGAAGTAGCCGTTTGCCATTCCAGGAACAAGTGTTTCCAGAAATATCTGAGCTGAAGTAGCAAGAGAAGAATAGTCGCAAAACATATCACAAGACGTCAGAGATCACCTGATTTTGTGACATCATAGATTTGTAAGCTCTTGTGCCCACTGACGTCATCACAAATTCTGTCTCCCAGAGCGCCATAGATTACGGTTTACAATTCGATTCTTGGTCTTATATATGTTAATTTATGCATATTAGATCTTATACGAATTAGTTAGTAAAATTAACAATATAATTTTGAAACTTTGCTTATTTCTCATTATTCAAATCTACACTTCTTGATTTGGTTTAATTCTCAGTTAATTTACGTTGTTATTCTTCGGATCATTTATGTATATCCGATGCTAGATTATTTCTCACATTTGATTGTTAAGATTAACTCTTTTGAATTATTTTATTCATTGTTTCTTGCTTTAGTTATTAATGCTCCGTTGAATATTCTACTCTGTTTGTATAACTTATTTAATTTCATCAGATTCTGATCCCTTCTTCCAATGTTAAATTTATTTGAACCGTTATTTACGATCACATAATTATTTCACTTTTAAACAGACATTCTCATCTTAGCTTCTAAAGGTTCGGATTTGTTTCATTTAGACTGTATCCATCAATTATTCTAAAATGTTTTCATTTTAAAATTAGTCAAGTAGCTTTTGAAATAAAAGTATGTTATAAAACAAATATAGGAAACGCAGTCGAAGATAACTATCCGTTTTGGACATAAACATCTGTTACTGTTTTACAGAGGTACTGTGCTTTATTAAATTAGATTTATGCGCCCTTAGTTCTCATTTAACCCACCAGCAGCCAAGCGGTAAAATCACTGAATACTGGTAGTTCAGACCTGAATTCAATTCCAGGTGAACGGGCTGGCTGCATGGAAAGATTCCTGGCTTTTCCCGTGTGTGAAACACATGAAAAATTACACTTACTCGTGTTGAAAATTGAGTACACATGCACTCATGGTACTTCATGGTATCATGCATCATGGCAGTTGCCACTTATCAGTTTTTATTTAAACTTAACCGTTGATTACTTTTTGTCATAAATCTTTTAATAGATACAGTATATTAATATATATTCATTTTATGATACATTTAAAAAGAAATAATTTAAATGGTGAAAAGTAACACAATGAAATGATTAAGTAGAAGAAAAATTGCAAATTCATAAAAACAATAAGTTTTAATAGCATAAGTTTCTCAAATTATCAAGTTTGAGAAAAAATCGCACAATCTGGCAACGCTGCTAGGAACACTGGCCGTAATTTTTAATTCATAATGCTGGACATACGTAACTTCTTGCTCACAAGAGAAAAGTCACTTTTCCGTGTCATGCTCTGGCGATGTATTTTTAGGATAAAAAAGATATACCCATATTTCATGGATGGTAACATGTTTGTACAAAAATGACTGGATCCTAAAGAAAAATTATCAAAGTAACTCCGAAATGTTAAAAGTGCAATACAGTTTCTGAGCTTAGGTTAATGTTCTTCATGATACTCATCTTCTTCATGATATATTTTTTTCATTTATTCTAGTCTGCCAGTTGAAATGCTGACAGTCTGTGTTATATGTTCACTAATCATTCCTATACCTGATATCGTAGACTTGTTTTCCATTTTGGCAATCATTTCCTCTGTGATTGTCGTAAATGACGACTGAAGCTTGTATCAGTTTTACAGGAAATTTTTCTCCTGCCTATTTTGGTGTGGTAATTACGGCAAAGCACACTAGGGCTATCTGCCAAAGGGGAGGGATGCCTTTCGTGGAGGACTTTCTAAGGGAAACTGGCTCGTATACACGTTACACATGGGAAAACCACGAAAACAACCATGCAGCCAGCCCGTTCGCGGGATTCGAACCTCGGACCGAACTACCAGTGTTCAGCGACTTTACCGCTCCCGCTGGTGGGCCTTCTGCCTATTTTGAAATTATGGAATAAGCTATTAAGCTGGGACACAGTTTCGAATGTGTGACCTGAATGCTTATGAATGTGCTTTGTCAATATATTGTTGCGTTTACTTTTCTGATACCAGTTGTCAACGTTATTTTCTTCCTTCACGTTCGTACGGGTTTCATGAGGATTTGGAGTGAATAATGACAATACTACTTGTTGAAGTATCGAAACACACTTTATTGGCCAGTATTGTCAGGACAGCTCCAAAACATGTTTTACAGTCGTCGATGAACTACTATAAACATGCTGACACGATCAGCGACACAGCCTTCAGGCTATCACGGTGGAGACAGCTTCACTGCAAATCACCAAAGTACAGCTCCCGACTCTGCTCAGTCGTTCGCGGAACTCCACGTACTCTCATGACTCTCCAGGCTACAACTCGCGATGCACACGACGACACACAGAGCACAGCTCCCGACTCTTCGTTTCAGTCGTTCCCAGAGCGCAACACGCTCTCTCGACGATGTACTAACCGCAATACACTACGAGACTCTTTCGGTGCACTCGACGATCCACTCGGCACTCGCTGCCCGGCTGTCAACTCGATTAACTCCGCAGGGATTGACTCGCTAGACGAGACGCCAACTCGATACTAACTATCTCGCACTCCAGACGAGGCACACTGACTCGCCCTCTAGACGAGGGCACACTCTCGATACTAACTAACTGGCACTCCAGACGAGGCACTCTGACTCGCCCTTTCGATGAAACACACACTGACTGCGGGCGAGGAGGGTTTATATAGTTTCCGGCTTGTGTTCGAGAACATGCTGGGCTAAACCGGTAAGAATTTGTTCCAGAAGGTTCCCCATCCGTCCGTGGTATATCGCCAATTCTGTCGCCAAATGGGCGATTTTATTGCAACCCTAAAAATGCTTTGCGGGGAAGCTATCTTACCGCGCCTGGAAATTTCGTAACAATATGCTTCAAACAGGATTAATTTATTATAACCCGAACTTCATTTGTGTTCATTTTTGGAATTTGGCCTACGTGATTAAAACACTGGTTGCTTTAGAAAAAGAAGGAATTCAGGTTTACGATACCAGATTTGTCATTACATCTTAGATGACCAATATAATATTGCGAAACAATCATATTCGATTCTGCTTGCATTTTATTCTCCTTCCTGTGAACGTTTTGATTCAAAATGATTATAAAATGAAAATAATTCAAATTCATATCTCTTGGTTTATAATTTCCAAGTTTTCTTAAAATCGTTGATTGTTTGTCTGTATTTATGAATTCGGTTTTCCATTTCCTACTTGATATTGAATCTATAGCACTAAATTTTTATATCCATCACATTTGCAGAATATTAAAAGAATTATTTCTGCTATATAAATATCAAAAGCATCATTATTCCTTCAATTCACGTCTTCATCTAAAACATCGTTCTGAAGAATAAATATTAAATCAATTTAATTTTTGTATAATTTTAATTGAATAAAGCTAACTTCACGAAAGAGAAAAGTTAATGTAGTATAATAATTAATGAAAGCGAGAGTTTTGTCATATGATTATATCTTGGAAGCATTTAAAGGCTTTCGTATGTCAAAAAAAGAAACAAAATATCACCGTTTCAATCATTTAAGTTTCTGAATAAAAAAGGGAAAAATATTAAATAACTATGCATACAAATAATATGAGCACTCAAAGCAAACTGTTAACAGTACTACGTGATTTCTATTCGTAGAAACACCACATAGTATGCAGTACCTGTTTTTCTTTCATAAGATTTTCTTTCA